ACATGAAGAAACAGGAGAACAGTTATACCAGAGAATTAACATCACAGCTGAAAGCTCTAGAACACAAAGAAGCACACCCCCCAGGAGGAGTAGACGCCAGGAAATAATCAAATTGAGGGCTGAAATTAATAAAGTAGAAACCAGGAAAACAATACAAAGAATCAACGCAACGAAGAGTTGGTTCTTTGAGAAAATCAACAAAATAGACAAACCTTTGTCCAAACTTACCAAACAGCAGAGAGTGAACACGCAAATTAACAAAATTAGAAATGAAAAGGGGGACATAACAACAGACTCTGAGGAAATCCAGAGAATCATTAGGTCATACTTTGAAAACCTGTACTCCACAAAATTCGAAAATTTAAAGGAAATGGATGACTTCCTGGACAGCTATCAATTGCCAAAACTAAATCAAGAACAGATAAGCAATTTAAATAGACCTATAACCCCTATGGAAATAGAAGCTGTCATCAAAAGTCTCCCAACCAAAAAAAAGCCCAGGTCCAGATGGCCTCAGTGCAGAATTCTACCAGAAATTCAAAGAACAGCTTATACCAATTCTTCTCAAAGTGTTCCACACAATAGAAGCAGAAGGGTCTTTGCCAAACTCTTTCTATGAGGCTTCAATAACCTTGTTCCCCAAGCCACACAAAGATACAACTAAGAAAGAGAACTTCAGACCAATATCCCTCATGAACATTGATGCAAAAATACTCAATAAAATACTGGCAAATCGGATCCAAGAACACATCAAAACTATCATTCACCACGATCAAGTAGGTTTCATCCCAGGGATGCAGGGATGGTTCAACATACGAAAATCCATCAACGTAATCCACCATATAAACAAGCTGAAAAACAAAAATCACATGATCATCTCACTAGATGCTGAAAAAGCCTTTGACAAAATCCAACACCCCTTCATGATAAAGGTCTTGGAGAGATCTGGGATAACAGGGACATACTTAAACATAATAAAAGCTATATACAGTAAACCAACAGCCAACATCAAACTAAATGGACAGAAACTCAACGCAATTCCTCTAAAATCAGGAACAAAACAAGGCTGTCCACTCTCTCCATACCTTTTCAACATGGTACTTGAAGTTCTAGCTATTGCCATATGACAACAAAGGGGGATCAAGTGGATACCAATTGGGAAGGAAGAGGTCAAACTTTCACTGTTTGCAGACGATATGATAGTTTACATCAATGACCCAAAGAACTCTACCAGGGAACTCTTACAGCTGATTAACACCTTCAGCAAAGTGGCAGGCTACAAGATCAACTCAAGAAAATCAGTAGCCCTACTATATACAGATGATAAAAGGGCTGAAAGTGAAATCAGAGAAACATCACCCTTTACAATTGCCACAAACAACATAAAATACCTTGAGGTAACGCTAACCAAACAAGTGAAAGACCTGTATCGTAAGAACTTTGAATCTTTAAAGAAAGAAATTAAAGAAGCCCTCAGAAAATGGAAAGATCTCCCATGCTCTTGGATAGGTAGGATCAATGTAGTAAAAATGGCAATCCTGCCAAAAGCAATCTACAGATTCAATGCAATCCCCATTAAAATCCCAACACAGTTCTTCACAGACCTTGAAAGAACAATAATCAATTTTGTATGGAAAAACAAAAGACCCAGGATAGCCAAAACAACCCTGTTCAACAAGGCAACGTCCGGAGGCATCACCATCCCTGACCTCAAGCTCTATTATAGAGCTATAGTCCTGAAAACAGCTTGGTATTGGCACAAAAATAGACAGGTAGACCAATGGAATCGAATTGAAAACCCGGGTATTAACCCACACACGTACGAACATCTGATCTTTGACAAAGAAGCTAAAAATATACAATGGAATAAAGAAAGCATCTTCAACAAATGGTGCTGGCATAATTGGAGACTGGCATGTAGAAGAATGCAGATTGATCCATGTCTATCGCCATGCACAAAACTTAAGTCCAAATGGATCAAAGACCTCAACATAAATCCAGCCACACTGAACCTCTTAGAAGAGAAAGTGGGTGGTACCCTTGAACGAATTGGTACAGGAGACAGCTTCCTGAACATAACACCAGTAGCACAGGCAGTAAGATCAACAATTAATAAATGGGACCTACTGAAACTGAGAAGCTTCTGTAAGGCAAAGGACACAGTCAGCAAGACAAAAAGGCAGCCCACAGAATGGGAAAAATATTCACTAATCCCACATCTGACAGAGGGTTGATCTCCAAAATTTACAAAGAACTCAAGAGGCAAGTCTCCAAAACACCAAAGGACCCTATTAAAAAGTGGGCTGCAGAACTAAATAGAGAGTTTTCAATAGAGGAGTCTAAAATGGCTGAGAGGCACTTGAGAAAGTGCTCAACATCCTTAGCCATCCGGGAAATGCAAATCAAAACAACTCTCAGATACCATCTCACCCCTGTCAGAATGGCTAAAATCAAAAACACCAATGACAATTTATGCTGGAGAGGATGTGGTGAAAGGGGGACACTCCTCCATTGCTGGTGGGAGTGCCAACTGGTTCAGCCACTTTGGAAATCAGTGTGGAGATTCCTCAGAAAAATGGGAATAAACCTACCACAAGACCCAGCAACTCCACTCTTAGGCATATATCCAAAAGATGCCCATTCATACAACAAAGATGTCTGTTCCACTATGTTCATAGCAGCTTTATTTGCAATTGCCAGAACGTGGAAGCAACCTAGATGTCCCTCACCTGAAGAGTGGATAGAGAAAATGTGGTACATCTACACAATGGAGTACTATTCAGCAGAAAAAATAATGGAATCATGAGATTCGCAGGCAAATGGATGACACTAGAAGAAACCATCCTGAGTGAGGTAACCCAGTCACAAAAAGAGAAACATGGCATGTACTCTCTCATATATGGATTTTAGACATAGATCTGGGGAGTGCCAGCCTACAATCCTATGGCCAGAGAGTCTGGGAAACAGAAACTTTATTTAGTGGCTGATCGAAGAAGAGGCAGACTCCCTTGGTTAAGTACTGAGCTGAACTCAAGAAAGCCAGTAACAGAGAGGGAGGACTGATGATCAAAGGGATTAAGACTGGGCTGGTCTAACCCCCAGAAACAGCTGACCAGACAAAGGTTAACTTCTTGAATCCCAGGCATTAGCCTGGGAAGCCAGCATGGGACTGATCAAGACCCCCTGAATCTGGGTGTCAGTGAAGAGGCCTAGGGATTCTATTGAGCCTTGGGCAGCAGATCAGTACCCATCCCAAGTATACACACGGACTTTGGACTCCAATAGAACAATGTGAGGTTCACTCTCACCCTGAACTCTTGGGAAAGTGTCTAGGCCCTGCCCTATATGAAATGACACACTATGGACACCCCCATGGAGGGCCTCACCCTCCCTGGAGAAATGAGGGGATAACGGGGGGGAGGGCAAGGGAGGAAGGGAGGGAATGGGAGAGGGACCTGGAACTGACTTGTGAAGCAACCTTGATTCTTATCTAAATTTAAACTGGAAAATAAAATTAAAAAAAAGAAAGCAAACTGAATCAGCCGTGAAAAGCATTCTAATAAACAGCTGTATTCTGACATACTAGAGTTCCAAAAATGACTTTCATAGTGACATATAGAGATCAGGATGTGGAAGCCAAATAAATTCTTTACACCTGTTAAAAAAAAAGTGTGCACCACCACCGCCTGGCGCAGCAACTCTTATAAAGGAAAAGATGTAATTGAGATTTGCTTAGAGTTTCAGAGGTTTAGTCCATGATTGCCATGGGAGGAAGTATGGCAGTGTGCCAGCAGACATGGTGCTGGAGACGGAACTGAGAGTTCTACATCTGATCAGCAGGCAGCAGGAAGAGAGAGACACTAGGCCTGATTTGAACATCTGAAACCCCAAAGCCTATGTCCAGTGACACCCTTCCTCCAACAAAGCCACGCCTTCTAATAGCGCTATTCCCTAAGCATTCAAACATGAGTCTTTGCATGGCATTTTTATTCAAGCCACCACAATGTGCAAACTGGTTCCTCTGGAAGATCAGCCAGTGTGGTCTTGACCACTGGGCCATCTCTTCAGCCCTTCACTATAATCTTTTCAATAATGTGCCAGAATACTTGAAAATGATTTGTGTGTTTTGTTTCAAGATGAGTGTCTTCTGTGTATTTTCCAGGCTAGTTTTCAACCCCTTGGCTCAAGAACCCTCTTGCTTCTGCCTCCTGAGTATTCAGAACTGTGGGTATGTGCCCCTACTCCCAGCAAGTAAGTTTATTTTCATTGAGATTTTTTCATTTTCTTTCTTTCTTTTTGTTTTTCTGAGACAGGGTTTCTCTATGTAGCCCTAGCTGTTCTAGCACTCGCTCTTGAAGACCAGGTTGGCCAGGAACTCACAGAGATCAGCCTGCCTCTGCCTCCCGAGTGTTGGGACTAAAGATGTGTACCACCACTGCCCGGATGTTTTCAATGAGGTATATATATATATATATATATATATATATATATTTCATCATGTTTTACTGCTGGAAGTAGACTATTTCAAATTTTTGCTTATAAAAACTTTGGCATTCAGTATTCAGAGAAGAAGCTCTTGCTTTAGGACCCCATTTGTAAGTCTTTAGAGACTCTGTCAGGACTGTCCTCGGGTCTTCAGGAGAAACATTGATATGTTCTGTAATTCTTTGGTCAAAAAAAGTTATAGAACTCCAAAATGTAAGTGCATTTCTAAAAATTTATTTGAACTTTCATTTTTAATATAGGGTTTCTCTGTGTAATAGTCCTGGCTGCCCTGGAACTAGCTCTGTAGACCAGGCTGGAACTCACAGAGATCCACGTGCCTCTGCTGGGCTTAAAAGCATGTGCTACCACCGCCTGGCTTTGACTTTACTAGAACTTTTTACTATTTTGTGTATCTCTGAAAGAATTTTTGGTAGTAAGTTTCAAACCAAAGCTTGGGTTAGGTTTTAATGTTTATGACTACTTCCTTTTGCTACCTAGTAAAAGTAATGTTTATATTTATAAAGAGTGTCAGTAGATAAGTAGACAGAGGTGGGAAGTGTGTTTCCGCCTATGAAATAGACTTACTGCATTTTGTTTCCTTCCTACACAGCTTTCTCCATGTTCTGATTAATATCAGAAACAGACACAATGATGTTGTTCCTACAATGGCCCAAGGCATGATTGAATACAAGGAAAAGTTTGGGTTTGATCCATTTGTTAGCAGTAACATTCAATATTTCCTGGATCATTTTTATACCAACCGCATTTCTTTCCGCATGCTTATTAACCAACACAGTAAGTTGGGTTATGCTGGGTCCTGTTTTAAAAAGCTAACCATATTGATTTTTCTGAAAAGTTTTCCCCTTGCTGCACTTTTAATTTAGACTTCTGGTTGTAGAAATTTCATTTCTAGCTCAATTTTTCTTAAGTGAACCCTTCCTATTATAAAAATCTGTTAATCAATATTCTTGATTCAAAGCTGTCTCTGGAAGACAATAGAGGCAGAACCACTGCCTGGCTTTCAAGGGCTCTGCTGCTTATTTCTTTGGAGATAAGGAGCTGGTTTTAATGGCAGCCACATCAATTTTTCAATGATTTAATATACCTGGGAGCATTTTCTTTTTTAGTTTTAAGAACATCAAAACTGGGAATGATGAATTGGCATATTGGATATATAAGCAATTCCCTTTATTCCACAGTAATAGGAAAATTTGAGGAAGCAAGATTATCAGTCCACGATGCCACATTGAGAATATAGTCTGTTCCTCATGGTGATAGATGAGGAAAAAAATCTAAAATTATTTTCAACATAAAGAACTTCTTGACTGATTTCTAGTGTTGACACCTTGGTTGATTTTTTTAATTCTAAGAAAAAGGATCCATATATTTAGAGTCATCCTTGCTAAAGCAGAGAAAGGACAAAGCATGTTTTGTTTGTTTTACTCACTTTTTGGTTCATTTTTTAAAAATCATTTGATTTATTTAGATAAACAAATGTTATAGAACTTTTAAGTATGTATTCATTTAATTTTTAGAGAACAAATTTATAGAAAAAAGGGGGGAACCTAAATACCAAAAAGCTAATCTGCTGAGATTGTGGCAACTTTCCAAGTGTTGATTTAATATAAAGTGTACTAATAAAAATTTGGCTTGAGTTTCCTTTTTCTTTTTAGATTCTGTAGGTTTTTATTTAGGAATAAAAGTTTGCAAGTATTGTGTGCAGTAAAATGGAGTACTTTTTTGCAAATATTTGAACAAACATTGTTTGTATACACAGAATTGGAAAAGAACCTCCATGATGGGGGCATTTGCAGTGTTGCCTGTGAAGGTTCTTCACAAATGGCCCAAACTGCATGTGAATATTCAGTGATTGAAATAAATGACTGCTGTAGTCTTGAGCAGGGAGATAACCTGCCAAGCATGGAAATGTCTGATCCAGTTTCCATCCACTGAGGGAGCAAAGATTGGGCACCTGAGGTGTCACTGCTTTAGGATCTGCTGACTGCAACTGATGGGACCTAAAGTATATCCTTCCCGCTTTTGGCTATTGTATTTGCTCACCCATAACTGCATTTCATTACTTTAAATCATTGTGGATGCTGAAATGATTCTTAAAACAAAAGATCCTTTTGACAATTAGAAATCTATTTCTGTGCTCAACCATCGCAGCTTGCTGTGTTTCAATCTCCTTCCTTGTCTTTCTGTGTTCATTTAGCACTTCTGTTTGGTGGTGACACTAATCCTGCTCATCCTGAGCACATAGGGAGTATCGATCCCACCTGCAATGTAGCTGATGTGGTGAAAGGTAAGGATACCAACCCAGTGTCACTGAGCATGGCAGAAATAACATTGTGGTTTGTTTGAGGCAGCTCAACTGTAGAATTATGTTGCTGTAGTCGGTGGCTCATCAGGCCGTGTTAGGTCTAAACCACTTAGTCCAAATATGAAATATGTCTAGATCAGGAAAGGATGACTAACTTCTAATGCTTAGATACCAATTTGTATTCATTGGTCAGGATTGTAGTTTTGGTTCTTTCTTAAACAGTGAACATTTCAGGATGTTCTAAATTTTGACTTGCCATCATTTTTTAATCATTTCCTTTTTTATAAAATGGGACTGAGTTCACATTTGCCAAATCTGCATGTCTTTCTGTTGTATACTCCTGGTGTTAGAAGCTGTACAGCAAGTGGGCTTAGCTAGATGGACACTATGCCAATAGTCCCAGGGTAGAACAGGCCAGATACTGGTTAACTGAGGACTTGGAGTTTGAACAACAGGTTCCATCCACATCATTCATTTAAAATAAATGCTGTATCAAGAAAACTCAACTGGCTGTAACCCACCAGGTTCCAGTACTTAAGTTGTTACTTTGTGCAGATTCATATTCCCAACCTGTTCCTTCCCAGATTGCATTTCCTACTCTGCTCCTCATCTCCCTTCACACTCAGCTGATAAGTTTACATGTCTATACCTCTTCCAGGTTTCCATCAAGGAGGTGCTTTTCAGCAGCCACTGTTAAGGACTGCCTGTGCGCTATGTTTTCCTGCGGCTGCTGAGGTAGCTGTTTGGTCAGAAGATATTTATTCATGTTATTTCACTTGTGTCTTTTGTATTGATGTAAGGCCAGGGAATGCTTTTTTACTTGTTTGATAATGTGTATAGAACCTTGGAGTACCTGAGATAGATGATCTATAAATATTCTTTCTCTGCTTGGTAAATTTTAGACACTTAAAATTGTTAAATAAATTTTATTATTAAAAATGTGAGCTGAAAAGATGGCTCAGCTGTTAAGAGCACTCGGTTTTTTTGCAGAGGACCCAGATTCTTTTCCCAGCACTCACATAGTAGCTCACAACTGTCTATTTCAATACCCTCTTCTGACCTCTGGAGGCACCAGATACACAGACATACATGCTAGCAAAACACTCATACACACGAAAAACAGTAAAAAAATCTTTTTAAAGAAATTGCAAATCAAAAATACCACACACTGCAATTAACTAGTCCTAAAGTCAAGTTTTTAGGTGTGACTTTGATATGGTGGTGATGTTTTTAGTCGTAGCTTTAGAGGTACAGCTTCAGGAGATAATAAATGTCTGTACGTGGTATGAAATAAAGGGTTTGCTTCAAAATTAGACAGGATGGGGAATGAAGAAAGACTGGGCCTCTTTGAAGAACAGATTAGGCTTTGATGAGTACATGGGGTTTATTATACTGTGGTTTACACTGGTACATGTTTGACATTTTTCTTGGAAAACACTCTTTTATTATCTTTACAAGATAAAGTCTGACTAATTTTTAGGGAGGTTATAGCTGAGAACCTGTGGAATTTGATGAGTGATAGTTTTCATAAAACTTAACAACTTCTATAACACAAAGAGATTAAGCAATGCTACAGTGCCTCAAAGGCTTTGGAGAATTCAAGGACTTGGCTCTTTTTTAGTTTTTTCATTTTATTTTTATTATTTACACTTTTATTATATATTTAAATTAGGAACAAGCTTGCTTCCCATGTCAGTCCCAGTTCCCTCTCCCTCCCCTCCACACCCACTCCCCCCCACCATCTCCCTCAGCCCCCCACTCCATTCCCCAGGGAGGGTAAAGCCCTCCTTGGAGGATCTCTAGAGTCTGTCATTTCGTTCCTAAGAGTGGAATTGCTGGGTCTTGTGGTAGACTGATTCCCATTTTCCTGAGGAATTTCCATACTGATTTCCATAGTGGCTCTGTAATATGGCACTCCTGCCAGCAGGGGAGGAGTGTTCCCCTTTCTCCACAACCTCTCCAGCATAAACTGTCATTGCTGTTTTAGATTTTAGCCATTCTGACAGGGGTAAGGTGGTATCTCAGAGTTGTTTTGATTTGCATTTCTCTGATTGCTAGGGTTGTTGTGCACTTTCTTAAGTATCTCTCAGCCATTTTAGTCTCCTCTATGGAGAATTCTCTATTTATTTCTGTAGCCCAATTTTTAATTGGATCCTTTGGTGCTTTGGAGACTTGCTTCTTGAGCTCTTTGTAGATTTTGTAGATCAGCCGTCTTTCAGATGTGGGACTAGTGAGTATCATTTCCTAATCTGTGGGATGCATTTTTGCTTGGTGACTGTGTCCTTTGCCTTACAGAAGCTCCTTAGTTTCAGGAGGTCCCATTTATTAATTGTTGATCTCAGTGTCTGTGCTACTGGTGTTATGTTCAGGAAGTGGTGTCCTGTATCAATTCATTCAACGGTATCTTCCACTTTCTCTTCTAACAGGTTCAGTGTGACTGGATTTATGTTGAGGTCTTTAATCCATTTGGACTTAAAGTATTGTGCATGGCGACAGGCATTGATCTATCTGCAGTCTTCTACATGCCAACATCCAGTTATGCCGGCACCATTTGTTGAAGATACCTTCTTTTTTCCATTGTATAATTTTAGCTTCTTTGTCAAAAACAAAGTGTTTATATCTGTGTGGGTTAATATCAGGGTTTTCTAATTGATTCCATTGGTCTACCTGTCTATTTTTGTGCCAATTCCAAGCTGTTTTTAGGACTATAGGTCTGTAATAGGACTTGAAGTCAGGGCTGGTGATGCCTCTGGATGTTGCCTTGTTGAACAGGTTGGCTTTGGCTATTCTGGGTCTTTTGTTTTTCCATACAAAGTTGATTATTATTCTTTCAAGGTCTGTGAAGAATTGTGTTGGGATTTTAATGGGGATTGCGTTAAATCTGTATATTCTTTTGGTAAGATTGCCATTTTTACTATGTTTAGCCTACCTATCCAAGAGCATGGGTGTCTTCTTTAATTTCTTTCTTTAAAGACTCAAAGTTGAGGAGGCAGAGGCAGGCACATCTCTGTGAGTTTGAGGGTGGGATGCACCGACAGCCTCCAAAACAATACAGAGAAACCCTGTGTCGTAAAAACCAAAAAAAAGAGGTTGGCAAAGACCCTTCTACTTCTATTGCATTACATACTTTGAGGAGAAGTGGTATAGGCTGTTTTTGAATTCCTCGTAGAATTCTGCACTGAAGCCATCTGGCCCTGAGCCTTTTTTGGTTGGGAGACTTTTGATGACTGTTTCTATTTCCATTTCGTTTATGGGTCTATTTAAATTGCTTATCTGTTCTTGATTTAATTTTGGCAGGTGACAGCTTCATAATTAATATAGCCTCCTGTGTGTTTATTTGGGACTGATGCAGATCTAGAACCAGGCTGGAGGGAAAGTTTCTCTCAAAGGAAAAAGCCTCTCTTAACAGAATGGTGTCAGGAGTGGGATTAAATTTCCACACAAAACAACAAAAGCTTTAAAGGAATTTTAGAAACAGAAGAACGGAGAGAAGCACAGATTTTTGGTAGCAGCATTTTTCTCAGGTGTTTTGCTAGTGACAAGGCGAGATTCACGCGGATGGCTTACCAGAGTCTTCCTGACTCGGCATAAAAAAACAAAAACAAAAACAAAACAAAAAAACCCAGCAAGGTTGTTTTAGGAGACTCTGCTAACGATTGAAAGGTGTGTATGTACAGCTGGAAGTGGCAGCTTTTGCTGGATGTCAGCATGGACTGAGGCGGTAAGCTGGAACCACGCTTACACCCGCCATCTTGAAAAAAAGGCAGTTTAAATTGCTGCGGGTTTACAGATAAGACACGTGGCCAGAAAAACGTAAAGATATACAGTAAAGTCAGACTTGGATGAAAAAAACCTCTAAAGGTTTACAGTGTGTTTAAAAATATACGTGTGATTGAGAGAGAAAACAAAAAGACATAGTGGTAAAATAGAGAAGCTGGCGTTTGTGGCACATGCCTTTAATCCCAGCCCTCGGGAGGCAGAGTAAGATTTGCTGCAGAGGCAGAGGCAGGCAGCTTTCCAAAGAGAAAACCTGTCTCAGAGAAAAATAAATAAAAGTAAAATAAATAAAGTAATAATAGATAAATAAATAAGCCACGCAAAGATGGAAAATACACAGAGAGTCTAGATACTGTACGCTATTGTGTTTTTCAGTTTTTTGATTGCTCAGGAAGGAACAACTGCTAAAGTACACTTGATTATGAATGCTGCTGAATTAATCCAACTTCTATCTTTTGAAAGTGCCTTGACTTCAAAATTTAAGTATAAGGATATGTTACTTGGGAAAAGAGATTTTGCTTATGATTCTACAGAAAATGAAAAGCTGAGGATTCCTTCCAGGCTTCTGTGGTTTGACGAACCAAGACCCCCAGAAGCAGTGGACCAGGTGTTTCAACAACTAAAACAGCTAAGATGATGCAGTCTTATAATCTGGACATGCAGGACCCACAGAAAAGTAACTGCTGAACTCAGTCTTATAGGGTTCCTGCTTCATGGAAGAGTCTACCAGACTTTTACAGGACACAGAAAAATGACTGACAGACTGCCAATGCAGATGGACAGTTTAAAATTTCCTGCTTTGCTGAGAAGTGTTCCAGACACATTGTGGCCTATGGGCTGAAGATGGATGCCCCAATGTTACAGAGGAACTTTGGGTGACTGTCCAGGTAGCAAGATGTCTCTGTCAATCCTAGTGTTTATATATTATTCTTCTGTGGTCTTTGATGGAGTTGAAGATAGATAGTTATAATTATAGTTTTCCTTAGTTATGATAAAAGATAAGCTACATATAGGACTCTGGACTCACAAGAATGAGATAGATGATATTTTCTTTAAATCTTGCTGAATGTTGATAGACAAAATATTGTAACTGTATTATTACTTGATAAAAGTTCTGTTATATATGATTTGACTATGTTAAAGTTAAGAACTTTCCTTTGTTTAAACAGAAAAGAGGAGATGTTGGGGAGGTCCTGTTATTTGCCTGTTATTTGTCAATAAAGCACTGTCTGGACTATAGAGAATCTAGATAGGAGGGACTAGGAGTCCAGGAGAACTCTGGGAAGGAGAAACTCAAGGGAGGCAAGATGTAATGCCACGGAGGTAGGAAGCCTGGAACTATTCTCCGGTAAGAGAAACACTTAGATTAACAATTATGGGGTAATTACTTAAGTCAGAGCTAGACAGTAAGAAACAAGCAAGGCCAATAGCTTCATAATTAATATAGCCTCCTGTGTGTTTATTTGGGACTGATGCGGATCTAGAACCAGGCTGGTGGTAAGGTTTTTCTTAAAGAAAAAGCTTCTCTTAACAATCTATCGAGAAAGTTGTCCATTTCCTTTAAATTTTCGAATTTTGTGGACTACACGTTTTCAAAGTATGACCTGATGATTCTTTGGATTTCTTCAGTGTCCGTTGTTATGTCTCCTTTTCATTTCTGATTTTGTTAATTTGCATGTTCACATTCTGCTGTTTCGTGAGTTTGGATAAAGGTTTGTCTATCTTGTCTATCTTGTTGATTTTCTTAAAGAACCAGCTCTTCGTTATATTGATTCTTTGTATCGTTTTCCGAGTTTCTACTTTATTGAGCTCAGCCTTCAACTTGATTATTTCCTGGCATCTACTCTTCCTGGGTGAGTTTGCTTTTTGTTCTAGAGCTTTCAGTTGTGCTATTAACTCTCTAGTGTGACTATTCTCCAGTTTCTTCATGTGGGCACTTAGTGCTATGAACTTTCCTCTTAGCACTGCTTTCAAAGTGTTCCATAAATTTGGGTATGTTATGTCTTCATTCTCATTGA